ACATGGGAACCGATACTTCGAATAGTCGGATGGTTTCTTTAGTGGATTATTTTGAGTTTCTTCCGTACAAAGCAGGTAAGCAAACATTTTCTGAGATAGATTCCGTTGTTCAAACAGGTAATAGCGTGACTTGTGTCTCTCAATCTTCATCCTCTGAGTATTGGATCATTGATTCAGGTGCATCGGATCATATTTCCGGTAACAAATCTCTTTTCACTACTATTTCGTATTCTCAATCTCTTCCAAGAGTCACAATGGCCAATGGATCTGAAACCATGGCAACTGCAATAGGTCAAGCAAGCCCAATTCCTTCCTTACCTTTAGATTTAGTTCTTTATGTCCCTAATAGTCCTTTTAATCTCATAGATGTTAGTCGCGTAGCCAAATCACTTAAATGTGCCGTTTTATTTCTTGATGACCAAGATTTTATACAGGAATGCAGTACAGGGCGGATCATTGGTACCGGGCGTGAATCAAATGGACTTTATTACCTTATCTTTGCTAAATCACATGGACTCACATCTTGTCTTCCTTCAATAACTTGTCCTGTTACTGATTCACCAGATTTATTACATAAACGGTTGGGAGATCCTAGTTTGTCAAAACTTCAGAAAATGGTACCTGGTTTATCTCACATGTCAGCTCTAGAGTGTGAGTCTTGTCAGCTCGGTAAGCATACTCGCTCTCATTTTCCTCGACGTATTGATAATCGAGCTGAGTCCACTTTTACTTTAGTCCATTCAGATGTTTGGGGTCCTAGTCGGGTCAGTTCTACCTTAGGATTCCGCTACTTTGTTAGTTTCATTGATGACTATTCTAGGTGCACCTGGATATTTTTGATAAAAAATCAATCTGAGTTGTTTTCTATTTTCCAGACCTTTCACGCTGAAATTCAAAATCAATTTGGGCTTTCAGGAGATATTGTTACAAAGTTTGTAAAGTCGAATGATCAACTAGCAGATATTTTCACTAAGTCTCTTACTGGTTCTCGTATTAGTTACATGTGTAACAAGCTCGGTACATATGATGTGTATGCACCGTCTTGAGGGGGAGTGTTAGATATGTAGTCTTGTCCCACATTGGAATAGGAGTAGTATGTCCTTGTATAGTATAGCTATAAATAAGGACCTCTTGTATTGTATTGAACACACAATATCAATATATCATATTTTCTCCCATGCCTTCTCACACTGACGAAAATACGATATCAACTACCTATAGGTAATACCAAATGGAACAAATTTACCACAAGGAGAAAATGTTAAATGATACATTCTAGTTGGAGCAAAAAAAACCTATTCAAGGAAGGAAAGTCGCCAGGAAAAGAGAAGGCAGATTATGATCATTAGTCAGGATTACTGGATTTTTGAAGATCACTAAGAGGCAACTCAGATCAATAATATTGATGGAAAGTTCATAAATGACATATTTGCAAAAAGGGAACTAGTCATCTGTCAGCACAATAATCTTGAGATGTTCCTAATGCAAAAGTCATGGAAATAAGCACAACTACAATGTACCTTGTGCTGAAGCTGCTCATGCATAATTTCTAGCATGCTGACACAAAGAAAACGAATAAACATGGACAAAAGGAAGTGGAAATGACTGAGCGTTGACAAAGTGACAGGTCAGAACAAAATCTTTCTTTAATTTGTATAAGTAAAACAGCAAATCTTTTAACTTGAAAAAAGAGATATTAGTCCATAACAAAGAGGTTTAATTGTTGTAAGCTATTCAACTGATTTTTGACAATTTTATCGCATTTGGTAAACGCTACAGTAGGTTCGGAATTTTTAGCTGGGGAAATTGGGGTTGTGTAAAAAGGGGAGGGGAGGGGGCTGGTAAAAAGGGGTGGGTTTAAATTGAGCGACGTGGTTGACACGTGGCAGAACCAAGAGATAAACAATGTCATTACTCATTAGAGACTAATGTCTACTGTTTGGAAATAAGGACAAATCTTGCCTATGTTGGTAATGGCAGAGATGCATTTGACCCAAACTATTAATGGAGGGCAAATTTAAACCATTTCGGATAGTGCAGGGGCAAAATGTGCCCCTTTACCCTAAAAAGAATTGAATGGTCGAACGCTAAGTTACTCCGACACAGCAGTTTAGGTGCCACACCCGTGTCAACACGACACTAGCATGGGTGTGGGTATTGACTCAAACAATTTTGGTTACTTTGACCACGACGGGCGGAAAAATTCGGGACGAGATACAATTTGATTCCCGAAATTAGAACCAAAACTAGGAAAGAAAATAGCATATCTTATCTAGGAAGTCCACACTTTATAATAAAGCATTCCTCAAAATTTCTCATAATTTAGACATTTTTTTATTTTTTTAAATTATTTTTAGCCAGATCCCCGTACCCGTACTAGGATCCGTATCTCCGAGTCTTAGAATTTACATCTCGAAGGATCCGACCTCTAGATCCGCACTCGTGTCGGACACCCGCAACCGTGTCCGAGCAACGTAGGTCGAATGTGATAAACATCTTCTGGTGTTCCACAAAGTTACGCGAACTTAGTCAAACACTCTTGAAATTTATTTGGGGGG